CACTAAAATAATGGAACTTTTTTGTGTAGCACATTGTGGCATTTAGAGAGCATTTGTTAATGTTTGCTGAAAAAATTTTTCTTTGTGGTTTGATAATTAAACCCAGCCATACTTTTAAAATATTACACATTTCTTTGAAGATAATTTCCACAGTTTCTAGTTCTGAAACAAAGTAAATTTTAAAAATGCAGCTGACAAATGGTAGAGATGATTTATGGTACTTTGAGAGCATTCTAGGGAGCTTCTTACGTTAATTTGAATGATGCATTCATGGAAATACAGAAGAGAAAACAGACATTAAAGAGAGAATGCTATAAGTTTTTATGGTTGGGTGCAGGCAGATAGAAAAGGTGAGAGCCTTGTCCCTGGAGATGACAGAGTATATACTATAAGGGAAAAAGTGCAGGGATAAGAAACAAGCAGAGGGCTGAAGCCCAGCACTCTTACTTCACACTGAAGTGCATTCTTAGTGCACCCGATAAATAAAGCAAAACAACCTTTTGATATTATTTATGAATTTTACATGAGTCATTATTAATTCACAGTGAAAGTAATATTAATGATGCCTTAGGTGACCTCAAACTCACAAAGTACACCAGCCTAGCATTGAACATATTAAAATCTCATCCATTTTTGGTTTGTTGATTTCTTTTAGCTGTTTTTTGTAGTTTTTTGTAAATTTAGATTTCCAGAGCAGATAATCTCCCCCATCAAGGGCTGCTCTGACCAGCGTATTCTAGTCAATGGGTGTCAGCCATTGCTCAGCTATTCCTTCTAGGATGGCTAAGGTGTAAGGCACTGTAGCACCATACTGAGAAACAGCAGTTTTAAGCTCTTTAATCACCCAGTATTGAAAAAGAGAGTGGTGCCTTACAGGCTCATCCTTATCATCTACTGTTTCTATAACTGGAAAAGCTTGCGGTTTAAATGACTTAGTAAAAGGCTGGATGGGGGAGAGGGAAAGTCCTGGGGTCTGTTTTTTAGTCTTTTTAAAGTGAAAATCAGAGGCCGGGTCCCACACTGACAAGTCATGAAGTTCCTTTAGCAGAGCTTGTTGGTGGCGTTCCAGATCAACGCGCAGCTGCAGACCTTTGATCTCTGTTTCTAAATGATCCATGGGAGGAAAAGCAGGGAAAGTCTCAAGGGCCAGAGGAGCTATGGGCAGTAAGCAAGGAGGAGGTGAATTATGAATGCCAGGAGATTCTGTGAGCGGAGCAATATCATTATCATCGCTCTCAGAACCAGAGGGACATTCTTGGGGTGCTGTGTCTGTATCCATGGTATCTAGCTTTAAGGGGACATTGGATTTCTCACTGTGAGGTGGTCCCTCATCATCACTATGTAGAGAAATGACGTCCACATTTTTAGGTGAGACCTTTGCTACTGTTTGAGAGGGTTTTTCTTTTTAGAATTTTTTCTGTCTGTCTGAGGGTGGTTTCAGTTAGGGCTTCCTTAGTGTCTAATAACTTTAATTAAGTTCCAGTAAGAAAAGGTGGTAACAGGAATTTTTCAGGGCCAAAAACCTTATAAAAGTCTTCTAAAGCATTTCCCACCCTTTTCCATCTCTTAATATCAATAACTCCCTCTTGGGGAAACCAAAGGCAGGTTTCTTTTATGAAATCAAAGAAATGAAATAAGTCTGTAGTTTTAACCTTTACTCCTCATGTCTTTAAAGCCTCATGTAATTGTTTAACATAAAGTTCATGTTGGCTTAATTCTTGCCCCATAATCGGACGTTTTTACTTACTTTTTCAGTTTATGGCGAGGCAGGCTCCCGCAGCAAATCCGAGGAAATATGTGGATGAACGTGTTCCTTTTGATAACGTCGTCTCCCTCACTGGGTCCTCAGTGTCCAGCCCCACACGTTGGGTGCCAGATATCTTGTCCCGCGAGACAGTCATCGTGGGAACCTGGAGAGAGGAGAGGGGAATGAAAGGGACAAGAGACATGAAGAATGGAGACAAGAAAAGCTTTCTGATCAAGTCTCATTTATTGAACATCTACACAAAGCTTTTATAGGGAAGCAGAAGGGAAAGAAGCTAGGTGGGTAAAGACCCTTGCAACAGCAGTAAATTCCAAAGTTAATTGCAAGTTCCAGTAAAGACCGCAGTTTCACAGTTAGATCAGAAGTTACAATAAATTTCTCAGTCACATCACAAAGCCAGATGGTTCCACAAGATGGAGAAGTCTCTCAAGTGTGGTAGAAAAGGTCAGGGCAGGGTCAGGGCAGAAAAACATGTTTTTTACAGTGCCACCTGGTTAGCCTTTAACTGGGTCAATTGTTGATGCCTGCAAACAGCCTGTTTCACAGACAATGGTTGCTGTTTTCTGGGGTGGGGGCCTACGACTCCCCACACTAGACTTTACAAAGGAACAAGCAGTGAATCCGGTTTTCTAGGCCTCTGCATAAGCTACTGGCCTACTAAGTGAAATAATCATGGCCACTTCCACTTATAATCAGATTAAAGGTTTTTTGTGCTTTTCCTAACTGCAAACAAAATGTTGTTTATACATTCTCATTGTGAAAATGACTGTACTCTGTACTATCAAATCACATTTTAGATCTGATATAATCCCCATCAAAATTTCAGTAGCAATCTTTACAAAATTAGAAAAATAATCTTAAAATACACTTGGAAGTTCACAAAGCCAAAGCAATCCTGAGTGAAAAAGAATAATGCTGGAGGCATTGTCATACTTAATTTTTCAAATCATACTACAGAGCTACAGGAACAAAACAGGATGCTTCTGGTACATAAAGCAGTGGAATAGAATAGGTGACAAATATAAACCCACATAGCTATAGTCACCTGATATTTTTTGACAAATTGTCAAAAATATACATAATATACATTGGAGAAAATATGGGCTCTTCAACAAATGGTGCTAGCAAAAGTGTCTATCCAAATGTAGAAGAATGAAACTAGATCCCCATCTCTCACCCAGTAAATGCATTAACTTTCAGTCTATGAAAGACCTTAATGTAAAACTTGAAACTCTGAAACTGTTAGAGGAAAAACTGGAGAAAACATTTCAAGATATAAAATAGGTAAGGACTTTTGGGCTAAGACTAAGTCACTCAGGGAATAAAGCACACAGCTGACAAATGAGATCACATGTAATTAAAATGTTTCTGTATGGCAATCAAAAAAAAATTGAGTGAAGAGACAGTCTACAGAAAAGATAAATTCTTTGCTAATTGTACATCTAAAAGGGACTAATATCTAGAATATACAAAGAATTTTAAAAAAAACTAAATAAGAACTCAACACAACGAATGGCCTAATGAAATGAACATATAGCTAAGCTCTCAAAATGCAATACAAACAACTAATACACATGAAAAAAAATCTTCAACCTCACCAGCCACCAGAGAAATCAAAATTAAAACTATACTGAAATTACTGAAATTTCATTTCACTCCAATCAGAATGGAATGGCAGTCACTATTAAGGAAAGTGAAGGGAATTTAGGCCCATCAAGAAAGCAGGGACAGGCCCCTTTGCGGGGGGAAGGGGGGCTGCTTCTTGTTCACCAGGACTTTGCAATTTTTGCAACTGTTAACTATCTTAAGTGCTGGAATAACTGTTCCAACTGCTAACAGTCCTAACATCCAGAGGAAAAGTCCTACTAGCAGAAAGAAAGGTCCACCCAAGGGAGGGTACCCTGGGAGCCCCAAGGAAGGAGAAGAGGAGGGAATCAGAGGAAGGGAGAGCCTAGGATCCTGCAGAAGGCCAGACCAAGAGCTCTCAGTAGGATTCGCAGGTCTGGGGTCCCCTTATCCTGTTGGGAGCCATTTGCCTCTCTAAATAAAACATGGGTTTTTTTTTTTTTTGCTCTGTTCTCACTCTCTGTGGCTACTGCTTCTCCATTCCTCATGTGTGCAGCTTTCCTGCTCCTTGCATGTATCATTTTCACCCTCTGGTGCTGGCTAGCCACTCCTGCAATCCCCAGGGCCCCAATTTCCTCACTCCTCCTGTTTATCCCTTTAACTTCTCCAGCTAGCCTCTTCTGCATTCCCCATGGCTGTGGGTTCCCTGCTCCTCAGTACTTTGACTTTCTTGGTGGGCCGCTTCTGCAGCTTCCCCACCCTTCCTCCCAGCTATTTCCGTTTCTCCACATTTTGGTCTTCTACTTTTCCCCCAAATCCAGTCCATTGTTTATCCCACAGTATAAACACAGCAGATCCCCTATACAATCACCCCTCACCCAGATCCCCATAACAATTAGGAAAACAACAAATATTGGCAAGAATGTGTGCAAAAAAATGAACATTATGCACTACTGGTGGGAATGCAAATTAATCTGTCCACTATGTAAACCATTATGGAGGATCCTCAAACCAATAAAAATAGATCGGTATATTATACTATATTAGTCCTAGATATTTGACCTAAAGGACTTAAGTTCAACATAGCATAGAGATACTTGAGGATCAATATTTTATAGCACTATTCACAATATCTAAGTTATGGAACCAACCTAGGTGTCCCTCAACAGAGAAACGGATAAACAAAATATTACATATATAATGGGGGGCTGCAAAGATGGCTCACTGGTTAAGAGTACTGGCTGTTCTTACAGAGGACCTGAGTTCAATTCTCAGCACCCAAATGGCAGCTAGCAACCATCTGCAACTCCAGTTTCAGGGGATCCAATGTCCGCTTCTGTCCTCTGTGGGCATTGCACAACACAGGTGCACTTATATGCATGTAGGCAATACACTCATACACATAAAATAAAAATAATAAATAAAAATTTAAAAATATAAAATGGAAATTTCTCAGCAATAAAGAAAAATAAAATGGCGTTATTTGCAGGAAAATACATCCATCTGGAGGGAAACATTATAAATGAATTAAGCCAATCTCATAAAGAGAGATATCACACACTATCTCTCATTTGTAGGGCCTAGATTTTACAAATACACAAAAATCATGTATTCAAACATGATATGAAATGTACAAAAACTCAATAAAATATTTTAAAATAATCAATATACATCTGAAACAGGGTGCCCAATTTTATAGAACAAACACTACTATACATATAGACTGAAATAGGCTCCACTAGCAGTACTAGGCAGAAATTTCAATACCCCACAATCAACACACACACACACACACACACACACACACACACACACAATCAAACAAGTTCCAAGCCACGCTGGGCCATGAAGTGAGACCTTATCTCAAACAACAAATTGTGTGCTAACTATTGGAAAACAGAGAAATGGACAAAATTCTGCACTGAACAGCAATATTCTAAAGCAAAATGACATAAAGAACATGATCAGAATTATTTTAAAAACTGGGATTGAATCAGAAATATGTCTTCTAATAATAAAGTCTAAGACAAGATGGATTTACTTCTGAATTTTGCTATATTAAAATGACTAATACCAACAGTTCTTAAATTATTCCATAGAATTGAAAATGAGGGAATGCCAAGCACATTCTATAAATTCAGCACTACCCTGCTAATAAAACCTGGAAAAAAGGTACAACAAAGAAAACTTAAATCAATATCCTAATGACAATACATACAAATATCCTCAAAAATGATTGTAAGTATAATTCAATAAAACACCAAAAAGTTTATATATGCCATCCTCAAGTGGGCTTCCTTCCAAGGATGCAATAATGCCTAAACTTATGAAAATCAATTAATGTAGTATTTTGCATAAATATAATGAATGACTGAGAGCTGGGGAGATAGTGCTCAGTGGTTAAGAGCACTTGCTGCTCTTGCACAGGAACTGAGTTGGTTCTTAGCACCTACACAGTGGCTCACAGCCATCCATAATTCCAGTTCTAGGGGATCTGATGCTCTCTTCTGGCCTACTTGGGCACTGTACACACATGGTACACTTACATACATGCAGACAAAACACTCATACACATAAATATAAATACATAAATACACAAATTAATTCAATAAAGGATTGAAAGTAACATGATCATTACAGTAAGTATAGGAAAAAATTATAAAATACAACACCTATTTATGATACAGTCCTTTAACAAATCAGACACAGAGTAATACTTAAGACAGATTGTGTAGGGGCTAGAGAGGTGGCTCAGTGGTGAGTAGTGCATGCTGCTCTTAAAAGGGACCAGAGTTCAGTTCCCAGCACCCACATTGAGAGGCTCACAACTGCCTGTAATTCCAGTCCAAAGAATCTAAAGCCTGTAACCTCCAACAGAACCTGCAAACATATTCACATGTTCACACAGACACACATACACATATACATACTTAAATATAATAAAAATAAAATCATTATATTGCATCTGCATTCAGGAATCAGAGGGTAAACAGGAAGTGGAGCCAGGTTATAAAACTTCAAGTCCAATCTCCAGTTA